TGTATATATATACATATATACACACACACACACATGCATACATACATTTTTATGAGAACCTTTGCAGTTTATTTAAAGACCAACTGAAGTTTCACACCAATTTACCCCCTTTTTAGTCCAGTTTATGTTTTATGACCAATTTTTTCATAAAGCCTTTATAATACAGTTTTTCTCTTCGTAAAAATGCTGCTTCCTGCCTTCCCACTGCAGTGCTTTGTGCTGGCAGAGCTGAGTAATAGCCACACCTCTTATTACCAGGAAAAGGGTGCATCTGTCCAGGTCTGGTACATTACAGGGTACACTGGGTCTTTTCTATAGCCTTTTAAAATGCACAATCATAACTAAAGTCTCGCTCCACAACTGCTGTAACAGTAGTGGCAGGACTGAAAATGGAGGCTGTTGGTCTAAGGCCTAAGCCCTCAGGGGCAGGGCCCTCCTTACCATCTTGTCTTGATTTGTATGGTAACTGTAATGTCTTCCTTATATTGTAAATTGCTGTGAAAACTGTTGGCGCTATATACATCCTGTATATTTATTTCTGTGACTTCAGTTGGACTTTAAGAAAAATTGATGGGCACCATAGAATACAGGCAGTCCCCAAGTTTCAAACATCCGGCATACGACCCCCTACCTTCAAACGGAGGCTATTACTGTACAGCAGGGGGTCCCAGACTGCAGCCGAAGTGTACCACGCAGCATTTCAGTAGCTGTAATGCTACCGCGCTCGTGCTGACATGGAGTGCATGCCTTTTTGGGTCTGGTTCATAGTACTGTACGTACATTATAGGAAGTTGGCTCTTGTTAGACTGAGGTTTTCACTGCTGTCTGTATCCTCATTACAGGAAGACACAACAGGAAGTGTAGGGAATCTACCCCTAGGAAGGGAAATTCACTCCTGTAAGAGTGATCATGGGAAAAAGGCGTCCCCACTGAAGCCTTTTCACCAATCCTTGTTTCCACGACAACCCAAAATGTTCCAAATCCAATTGTCACAGGGACAGAAAGTGAGGTGAAATCGTCTGAACACACAGCAAAACAAACTTTACAGGGGGGGGGGGGGGAGTAGATTCTCCCTTGTCCCTC